ACCGCGAGAAATAATCTTTTTAAAAAGACATCGGACTACATTACTGAGGAATTCGGTTTCCCAAGATGTTTTCATGATCTGATAAATATTCCGAGTATCTTTTCGAAAATTAAACACCTTATTTTGATTGTTATTGTAGAAACCACTTCTGAACTAGGGTAAGACCACGGTAAAATCAATCAAATAAATATCAAAGAAACATTTTATTCTTTAAAGTTATTAGAAATTATTTTGCTGCGATATTTTTTTTCCCTTTTTTTTGTGTGTTCCGCTATTTAAAAATTTAATATTTTTAAGAAATAAAAAGTAAAATGCAATCACTACTTTAACTTCCTTTCATCTAATTCTCCGGGATTTATTATATTCGATTTTTAATGCGTATGAAGCTAAGTGAGTAAATATGTATTTTAACTCAATTGTTATTTTCTACTGATTTGCTTCGAGTTCAATAAAAAATTTATTTTTTACTATAAAGAATTGTTTTGTATTTAATAAAATGAGATTTTAAAGCGTCTATCTTCGGACAATTCAAAGTAAAAAACGAGCGTAAGTTATGCAAGTTGTTAATGTAACGTAATTAAGCGGTGCTGTAGAATATACAACTTATAGGATATAGGTGTATTTATTATAGGATATAAAAGAAAGATGACAAAGATATAGGAAATCATCTGCACACTCCGTGTAAAATTATTGATATAATTCAGGGTTACTCAATGTTTTCTTTCTCACTTCAACATGCAATAACGCCTGACATAAATAAGACAATTAAACTCGTTGTTTGTATATAAAAATCCGATCATTCGACCAAAAGTTATTACGGTGTATGATTTCATAAATTTTTTTTCTGCCTTATGTGCAAAAAGGAACTAGAAAATGTTTAAAAAACGTCCTACTTTGTATAAAATTTTATTTAGACTAAATGAAATAACGTTTCAATTTCTTTGTGCCACGGCACAAAGTTATGTGCAAAAAGGAACTAGAACCTGCGTTATGTGTTATGTGCAAAAAGGAACTAGAAAATGTTTAAAAAACGTCCTACTTTGTATAACATTTTATTTAGACTAAATTAAATAACGTTTCAATTTCTTTGTGCCACGGCACAAAGTTTTGTGCAAAAAGGAACTAGAACCTGCGTTATGTGCAAAAAGGAACTAGAAAATGTTTAAAAAACGTCCTACTTTGTATAACATTTTATTTAGACTAAATTAAATAACGTTTCAATTTCTTTGTGCCACGTCACAAAGAAGCTTAAACCTCACCATATATTCGATGTATTTACAAGACGTATGGACGAAATACATTATCACCTTTACACCTATTAATTCCAAAAAAGTTGCGATTTCTCGACTAATTCCGTGTTTTCGGAAATGAATAGCAGTGTTTCAATTGTTTATTTTCTTTCTTCATCACTGTTTACTCAATAGTTTACATATTGTTTGTCTATGGTAAAAACTCCCCCTACCACAAAGTCGGAGACCGTCTGTTGCTTTGGAAGCAAGAATAGCGCATTTCAGGGAGGGTAGCTTCTCTTCACTCTAGGGCTAACACAATAGACCGAAGAAAAAGATTCCCTTTCTCTCGCTGACTCGAGCCAAAACCTGTCCTAAACAGTGACCTCATACCCCTACTTGAAATAGTTATACCTCGTTGCCATAGTCAACGCCACGGGTCCAGACGGATGGCTAGGGGAGTTCTTACTTTATACAAACTATAGCAACAACTTCTGTTAGTTATTGGAATTGTATGATTCACGGCAAGACGCATGAAGAACTCCACATTGTTTCTCTTTATTGTTTATTATCCTGAAATTTCTGAATAAATTCAACTAAAGGGGAACAATCTCGTAGGAAATAAAATTTCAACGAACCGCCAAATACTCTTTATCCGGATTATTTCAATAAAATAATTTTTAAGAGATTTAAAAAAAAGAGTTCTCGTTAAATCTGAGTTACGTTTGTAGTGCCAGGACTTTATAGTTTAATATGGACGTTTTAACATTGAACAAGCTCGTTAAAACCTAATCTAGTTAAATCAAGACTAATTATAAACGAGTTAGACTATTCACATAAAACGGAGAAAGTGCCGAAAGTTAAGTTTTTTTTTCTCCAGCTGTTAAAATTTTATGGCAGCGCGTGAATCGTTCAAATCTTTTGCAATTTTGATAAGTTGTCATATTGAATATCTCATTGATGATTAGTGCTCTTTCTTACTTAATGTTATAATGACAGTTAAAAATATTTTGAGCTGAAATATTGTTTAACTTAAAACATGATTGTCAAACAAGTTTGCGTCATATTATAGTTCGCTCAAGACCAAATGATACCTATGATACGGTTCCATCTGATACCACGTGTCCAACCTGACATACCACGATTCCACCTGATATACTACGGTTATACCTATGGTGGAACCGTGTTTTAGAAGCTCTTCTAACCTGGATTCACTGACAACTCAAGGACAAGTTAAGAAATTAGAATGAAGACCCATTTTATAAAAATGCCTGAAGAAAAAGAGAAAAAAAGAAGTTTGATGATAGATTTAAAGAACACTGTTTTTATTGAATCCCAATGTTTTTCAGATTCACTATGATGTTGAAAGCTATTTGCATCTAATTTTTATTTTCTATCCTCACTTGTATTTTTTCAATTATTATGTTTTATGCGATGCAAAATTTTATTCTGTAATTGTCGAAGAGCGTAGTGCAAGAAACTGTTAAATGGCATTTGAGTGATTTTTAATCGCAATTAGTTTTAGATTGTTTAGAAACTTTATGTAACAGTTTTTAGGATATTTTTTTCACCCTTTTAAAGACTTCGCATAAAAAATTAGTGTTTTATTCTTAAAACCTGGGAAATCGAGCAGTTTCTAAATGCCATTTGTCTAAGTTTTCCATATGCTAGGCTCTTCAATTCCTCTTGTGTGAAAATTCCATTTTAATTGTTGAATGTTTTCTAAATGTCATTTATAACAGATTTTTATACACTAATTAAGCACTTAATTCTTATTGTGTAAATATACTTTTTCAAATGAGAACTGTGTTGTTAAAAAAAAATGTGTCTGGGAGTTGTGAGTGAGAGTTAATGTTTATGAAACAGGCTCAAAAAACAGGGCGTCTTCATAGCATGAGGTGGTTTCGGGCACAAAAATGTTTTAAGCCCCAAAGTTCTTCAAAGTTAACTAAAACCCCAAAGTTGAAATCTAGCAATAAAAATCTCGATCACATAAAAATAGGTAAATATATGGATTAGTTTTAACACATTTTAAAGTAGTAACCAGGTAAACCCCAATATTTATACAATTTTAACTAAATAAAAATAAAGGTATGCTTTTTAAAACATTTCATTTTAAAATTCTTTCTTTTTAAAAAAAAATATTATTTAGAACTAAAAGTAATGTATATTTAAGTGAATATTTGAACATTAATGATATTTAAAATAATTTTCCGAGCCACTTAATATGAAAATTACAAAAAAAAGTCTGATCTTGTATAAACTTTTTATTATTTATTATTTTTTTATTGGCGGGCACTTGAATCTATTTCCCATTGGCGTCAGAAATTCCAGAATTTCTATTCTCTTATTGTTACCCAGTGGGCGGGTACCTGTGTCTCAGCCCCGGCAGTGGAGTAGCGTCGCCCACGTCATACAACCACAAATCCGTTTATAGGGCTGGTTGCATTCACACAATCACACAGAAGAAAGGACATAGAACACAGAGAAAGTTACATCCATGCCTACGGTGGGATTCGAACATACCACTGCCCCCGTAGTCCAGTACAATGACCACTAGATCAGTTATCGGCATCTAGAATAAACTTTATATTTATTTTGAGACGATATATTTTGTTATTTTTTTAATATATAATGCAATTTACAATTTTTAAAAGGTAAGATTCTTAAGGCCTGCCTGAGGCTCCTAGGTATTGCTATGCGTAAAGACGGTATTGACATAGAAGATGGTTTTCCTGCTCCCTCTGGCTCGATTAGACACTAGATTTCTCCATTTATTGATTTTCATGGTTTTAAGATCTTTTTCCACAGAAATAATCAATCTGGTGTTTGGTCTTCCCCTTCTTCGGTTGCTTGTAAACTTTCCAAAAATCAGCTTCTTAACTGAGCCACAATCATGTGACCCAGCCATCTTATTCTATAAGATTTAATAACTGAAATTGGCACAAAGTATTCATTGGCACAAAATCAATAAGATTCACGAATAGAAAATTTGAGAAACTCCAAATTTTATTTCTCATTATATTATTAGATTCATGTTATTAAATATTTAAATGCTTTAGTTATCGAATAGAATAGCAGTTTAAAAAACTCTAAATTTCACTGTCTACTTATAGTATAAGTTTTATGTTATTAAATGTTTAAATGCTTTAGTTAGTTATCAAATAAAATAGCAAATCATAAAACTCTAAATTTTACTGTTTCAATCTAGTAGTAGTTTTATATTTAAATGCTTAGTTATCAAGTAGAATTTCAAATTGAGAAACTCTAATATTTGCAATTTCATAAAAGTAATTGTTTTATGTTATTAAATATTTAAATGCTTTAGTTATCAATATTTCTTCATTATCACGAATTTATTTATTTTTATGAGATTTTTCTTATCTTTCTGGTTTTCTGATTGAAGATAAAACATCAATACATAATAAAATTGAGCTTTTAAGATAAATATGTTAAAAAAAATCTCTAGTCTAGATCTCATCACAATTTTTTACACTATTAATAGTTTAATCTGGAAGTCATGTTTATCAGAATATGTTCCGAGAATACTATTTGATTGTCTTTATGGTATCTGCTGCATGTATTTTGACTTTCTCTCAAATTCAAGAATTACTTTAGATTCCATTAAGGAGTTTTTTTTTTAATTTCGTTCTTTAAAACTGTAATTAAGACATTACTAATTGTTTCGACATGCCATTGTTATATTCCTTTATCGGAGGAATTTTCCGCGTCAATAAAAAACCTGAAAAAAAGCCTGATGTCCTTTTACAGGATAAAGAATACAAGCAATTAGCTGAAGAAGCTCTACAAAAGGCTATTGCTGTTGTAGAATCCAATGGTTGGAAAGTTGAAAGATCTGATGGGGATGACAAAATCTATTCTAAAGTTATTCCCTCATATGGAAAGGTTTTTAAATTTGAAGTAAGTAATTTAGTTTGATTTTAATTTCTTTTTAAACGTAATTTTTTTTTTTTCTTTTTAGAAATTGATTAAAATGGTTTCAGTATAGGTAACAGTCAAAGCTCTTTATTTTTTCATTAGGATATTGTTATGAAATAACATTCTAAAAGTAGTACTATAGAACTACTACTATTTTAAGTAGTAGTAATTCATCAAAGAAAAATAATCATAGTAGGGGAGAGGGGGGCACATGTGAACAAATTTTTTTTATTTCTTCATTTTTCAAAAAATATCAACTCGCAGAAAAGAAGTCCATATGTTTAAATAGTCCTTTCTTCATCTTATGGAATTTTTTGAGATTTTTCAATGAAACATTTCTTTACTTTATGATATTTTAGAAAATTGACTTCAATTGTTCATATGTGCCCCTATGGGAGGGCACATATGAACATGCCTGGCGCACATATGAACAAGAGTAAAAACACAAAGCAATCATCATATTTAAAAGAAAAAAATATGTAATATAACAGGTAGAGAAACACATTATACTGAAGGGGTTGTAGCTTACTACGTGATTTTATTGAGTTTATTTCTTTATGTGAATTTATTGGGTTAATTTCGTCAATTGGGTTTTTCGCAACTTCATGTTCCTCAGGAGTTGTAATGGGCGTTTTTCTTTCTTCTCTGATACTCTTTCATGTTTTTTTTTTTTTTTTTTTTTTTTTTTTTTTTTTTTTTTTTTTTTTTTTTTTTTTTTTTTTTTTTTTNTTTTTCCATTTTTTCTATCTTTTCATTTTTAGCTTTAGCATTTCAATCTTTCTTAGGTGTATCAGTTAATATGCGTGATTTTTCCTTTTCGCGTTTTCGTTTCTTTAAGTTACTTGGACTCTTGGAAATGGTCGGATTGATTCTGGTGTGGGACAAGTACTGATGGCACTACTGTTAAGATAAAAACCGTTACAGTACATCTTAAAAGATATATATTTTTTTAAAATGAGTAACATTGAAATGTGCAGTCACAATTTATAATACAAGCATTAAGCTGAAGAAGCTCAATTAAGAGTCACTGCAATTGCAAAATCCATGGTTGGAAAATTGAAAGATCTGATGAAAATGTAAGAATCACTTTTTAAGTTATTCTTTTACATGCGAATAAGTTTTCTTTGAAGTGGAAGTAAGTAAATAAGTTTTTTTTTAGTTATTTTTTCTTCTAAATATTAATTTGAATTGTTACTTTTTTGTATCGAGTGTCGTTATGAAATAAAATTCTTTTCTATTATTAGGGTCCTCAATGTTTATTTTTAGAATCCTTGTTAAAAAGCAGTAAAAAAGTACACACACTTGGGATCGCAAATTAATGTTTTAAGTGAAAAAGAAACTACTTTTGGTATCTTTCGCATTACAAATAAGAAAGGCGGGATTAAAAGAATCAAAACCAGTCCCGCAGTGGACTGATCGTTTAGACACGATTCCCAGCAGGTCACCGAAGTCAAGCATCTTTGGCTGCGGTCAGTGTGCGGGTGTTTGATCACTTGGATCAGTCTGCGTAGGGACCGAGGGTGTGCGGTATTGATCCTTGCTAAACTGTTCTACCGTAAAGTGCTCGACTTCGCGTGCAGGTCGTTGGGCTACCGAAGTGGGGGTGCCATCCCCTCTGCAGAGAATCGAAATTGTGATGGCTTGTCTTCGGATCATCCTCAGGGATGTTTCCCAGACCGTCGCCAATAGCCCATTGTGCAGTTCTAGTGTGACGTAAATTAACTGCAACAACAACTACAAAATCAAAATCAGTTTGCTTGCTTGATGAAACTAAGTAACTCAACCCCTCTCCGTCTCTTCCGGCAATCGAATAGGCCTTGTTATTTTTAGTTCCATCTTCCTCAATAGTGAATTTTTAGAATTTTATAGCGTTTTCGTTTTTTTCCTCGCTTGACCCTTAAAATGTGTACTTTTTATTTCTTTCTTGATAAGCATTTTATTAATATACATATTAAGTGCGGTAAATAAGAAACATCCTGTATGGGAAGTAGTAGTTGCACAAACCATAAAAATAAACGTTAAAATATTTTTCAAAAGAAAAAAAGGAAGAAAATGAATGACATAATATTATGCAATAGTAATTTGTAATAATGTCGATTATATGAGATTTTTTAAAAATATGATTGACCAACATCGTCGACCAGCTATATATGGTTGAACATGAATAGTCGCAAACTCAAATATGGGTCTATGTTCAACACCAGTTATAAAAAATAAAGGGGTAGACCCAACAAAAGAGCCGACTTAATAATTGCTGTCTTCTCTTATTTGTGGTACATTTCTAGAAATCTTGCCAAAAAGAAAGTCAACATGTATTTATTAACTATAGTAGTTGAAAGCTATTATTTAGTGCAAGAAAAAAATCTTAATCGAAAACTCGTAAGGGATGGATTTGAGATTAAAAATATCAAAACCTGTTTCATTGTCTGAGGATATTGAATTGATGCGAAAGGTGATTCTTGGAAATTCCTTCAAATTTTATATTGCAAACTTGTTTTTATATTTTTTTATCCATGATTTTTAGATTTGGAATTTTTTTTTTTTTTTTTGCCTTGATTAATTTTGTGACCTGTGCATACTTTATTTTTGATAAGGGCTTTAAAAATATATATTAAGTTTGGTGATTATGAAACACCTTGTATGGGTGTGAAAAAGGGTTATTTTGATATCACCCTTAGTTTTCTCCTCCATGATAAATATTAAAAAATGTTTCATAGATTTCAAGTTAGCTGCAAGTAATTAAATCTTCAATTGTCTAATAGTGATAGTACTTACTCCCAATCCGCTTACTTACCAATATGATCATAACAGTAATATCAAATCAGCTGTTTATCTTTTTAATTCAATTGCAATTTATTAATTATGAAAACAATTTTTATGATACATTTCCTTTTATACTTGGAAATATGTTTAAAATGCTTAATATTCTTGTTATCTCCCTATATATAAGGGGCATTCAAATGAAACCCGGTCACTAGTGTAAAGTAACGGTAACGATTTTGCTAACACACAAATGTAGTTATACACAGTACACATACTCAAAAATAGTAACCAAAGCTGTTGGCACATTTATCCCATTGCGATGCTAACAGGTCTATCCCATCTTGTCGGATCCAGGCCTGGACCCAGTCACACACGTCATCGTCCGTTGTGAATCGATGTCCGCGAATATCTCGTGTTAGAGGTCCAAAAACAGGAAAGTCTCCAGGAAAACAGAAAGGCTTTGACTGTACGGTGGATGTTCCAGCGTTTCCCAACAAAACTTGTTGTTCCTGCTTACTCTCCTGCATGTTCCGTAATGGACGATAACTTGTGTGGCCACCTTCTCTTCGGCGTGCAACCACACTGTCGCTATGCAACGTCAAACGTTGCGCATTCGTCAGTCTCTCTACCAATAGATTGTGCCGCCATACACGCAGTTACGTGGCTCCCCATTACGTCTAATGCAAAGTTAAACGCACTGACAAGGTTTAATTTGAGTGACCCTTCATATATATATATATTTAAAAAAAAACGTTATAACTAAATAAACTATTATTATTAGATGAAGCAAAAAGAAATTTTACATATTTCTAGAGAAATGTTTAAAGACCATTTGGATATCAAAATGTTATCGCTGCATTATCTGGTTTTGCATTTATTTAATGTAGATTACTGCTAGTTTAGTCTTGTAGTTATTTTATGATTGTTTTTCGATGTTCAAAACTTTTTTGTGCCCCCGAGATTTAGTTAGCGAAAACTACAAGCAGTATAATTAGGATTATTTTTTTTTTGGTAGCCACGTACTATGTCTAAAAATAAGTAAAAAGTGTTCCTTCATTTAAATTTTGAAATAGTTTTGTAATAATTAAATAATTTTTATTAACGGTTTTAAAGATTTTTTGAAGTAAAGGAAAAGCTAATCATTTTAAAATTATATATTATTGCAATCATATACTCTTATGACTGAATAAGAAAAAAGAACTTTGGAACCTCTCCAACATTTTAAAATAGTTTCTGAGTTATTAAAGCTTTAAATTCTTATTTTAACATAAAAAAGATTTTAAAAAATGCCCATTTCTAATGTTTAAAAAAGTGAAAGAAAAAAAAATGTCTAAATATAAATAAAACGTCTTCCTTCTTTTAAATTTTTTTGAATTAGTTTTGGAGCAATTAAATAAGTTTATATTGACAGTTTTTTTTTTTTGTGTGTAAAAGAAAAGCTAATCATATTAAAATTATTTATTATTGCAACCATGACTGAAGGTAAAAAAAAAATTTTTTTTAGCCTCTTCAACATTTTAAATTATTTTCTGATTTATCAAATTAAATTTTTTTTATCATAAAAAAGATACAATTTAAATGCCTCTTTCTGTCTTTTGGACAGAATGAAAGCCAAATATATATTTCATTCAAAACTTTTGCATTATTTTAATTACAATTTGGATACGATGTAATAACAATAATAACCTATGTAAGTATTAGTTAAAGTAATTATATGAATTGTACCAGGTGAGTCATAAGCTATCCCATGGAGTTATGTGTAATTACGTACCGGACTGTTTCCATGGAAACTAGTGGAAACCATAATGCAAGACTAAGATGTTCTTGAAAACGAAGAATATATCATATGGAAATAAGAACTCCTAAGATAGCTTGTGGATGTTACCTTGAAGTTTCTGTTTTTTTGAATAAATATTCACGTTACAACGTATCTATTTATCATTTGTGTTTTATTTAACCTGTAAATAAATAATCGTTGTATTTGTTCCTCTGTTCATTAGAAGAACATTTTATTAAAATAGAATGTAACAATATATATATGTTATTTCAAATTTTCTTTCTTGTCAAATATGATAATTTAAATGTCTTACTTCTGGGTAAAAGAAGATACTTAATTTTTAAAGCGTTTCGATTTGAGTTTCATCTAAGTGTTCTATACTTATTACTATTATTATGCATTATACTTATTGTTTATTATGTGCTTTCGTAGTTTTTAGTTTTATTCTCTTTCACAGATTTCATTAAATAATTTAAACTTAATGTAATGTCTTAGAAAGATAAATGAATAAATAAAGGGAAAGAAATTGAATAATCTATTTATTCATGTGAATATCCAATTTTTGGTTTTTGAACAATTTGCTTGTAATAAAATTTTTGTTTTGAATTATTTTAACATTTGGATGGCAAGCAACAGAGAGCAGGATGTGGAACCCTTTAGTTCTATAACAAAACGTTCTATAATTTTACTAGTAAATTGCACAAACATAAAAATATTTTGACAGTCATAATTTTTTAAGTATTTTCAATGATTTGAAATTATTGTTCATTATTTGAATCTTATCACTGTTATCAATCAAAAGCCAATAGATTTTTTTTTGTTTAAAAAATTTAACAAAACTTAAAGATAATTTTATAGAGTTCACCTTTTCACTATTTTTTTTAAAACTATAGATTAAAAATAAATTTTTGTTACATATAGAATACATTTTTAACTGTTATTGACTTCAACTGTCCTTTCAAAAGATTTCATATTAATAAGTATTTTCATGAATATTTTTAGGGTATTTTAAACATATCACCTAAGAAGGTTATCGATTTATTGTACTTTAAAGGAGAAGAAATGCATAAATGGAATCCTACAGTAAAAAAAGTTCAGGTAAAGACTCTTCTTTTTATTTCAGAATAAGCTTAGTGTAAAAGTTTTTTGGTACTCAATGATGTGTTTGAAAACTTTTTTGTATTGTACAGTTCCCCTGAGAATATGTACAAGTTAGATTGTTTAATCTTCACATTAAATAAACACATTATTTCAATTAACACATTACTATTATTATTAACTTACTATTTTCGTTATGTAATTTTAATAGGTATAACTTAGCAAATTTTGTTACTCCTTAAGTAATAGATGTTAAATTTAAACATTTAAATCTAATCAAATAAATGGTCATGAACTTTAAAGTGCTTTTTAAGACCAGAAAGTACTAGATTAGAAATAAATTCCTAAAACATATTTTTGTATCAGTAGTAAAGGATCAAAAATCATACATTTTAAAAGAGTACCAGCTTTTACGCATTTTTTAGAAATTTGTAATAGTGCCATCATTTTGCAAAAGAACTGACTTATGTCTTACCTCTGATATCTCATAGAGGGTTTTTTTAGGATAATTAATTTCAGAAAAGTCTTTTCCTTAACATTAATATATGCAGAGCTGCCAACTACTACACTTTTTGCAAAATATTTTATAGTGTGACAAGCATGTTAAAAACTAAAGTTTTCAGAATTTTTGATAGTTTTGCTAAAATTTTAAAAGCCTTGCCATGAGTTCGCTGGAGCAAAGTGTCATTTTATATTTACTAATGGAAAAGTTCTTAAAATGTTTTAAATGTAGTTTTTATTTTTTGATGCATTCAATAAATTGCTTTTCTTTCATCTTGCACTGTGTAGATTATCAAAAAGATTGATGATAACTTAGATATTGCTCATGTAATCGCTACAGAAGGAGCTGCTGGTCTCGTTTCAAGCAGGTATTTTCCAGTCTATATTTAAGTATTGTAAACCAGCCTACATTTTTTTTATTTAACTAAAGTACACATATGAAAAGTACTAATATTGTTACTACATCCTCAGAGATTTTGTAAACATCCGAATATGGAAAAACGAGGATTTGAAAATTCTTCATGGGTCTGTTGCTACTACTCATCCATCTGTACCTGCTAGTGGAAAATATGTCAGGTATTTATTTTTTTCATTCAATTTTTTTTTATCAATTAAAAATAATTTTTAATGGAAAGCTGGACAAAATGGATGCTTAAGTTTACTCCTCTTTCCTATGTTAATAAAATTAGCTAAATTTTTATTTAAATGATAAATTAGCCCTTTACATCAAATAATAAACAATTTTAATGTAAAAAAACTATATTTTGGAAAATAAATTATTATTTTTTTTTGTTGAAAAATCAGTATTTTTCTAATTGAATTTTTTTTAAAAATTGCCATTCTGCAAACTAATAGTTTACATTCTCTTTCATTTTCATCACATTGCACTGAAACTAGTTTTGTGTGATTTCTGATCAATGATAGCATTAATCTAGTCCAAAATGCCGGTCTTGGTTTTATCTATCAACACGATTTTGTGCAAATCCTCTCTACATGACTTTTATAGTTATATGAATCTTTTTAACAAAATACAAGATTTTGGGTAAAATAAAATAGACATTTCGAGAGTTTATTTTGTGACATCAAAATAAAATTTGAATTTTTCTTACATTTATTTCACCTTCTGCTTCCTGAATTGTAATAGTGTATACTTGCATGCATTAGCATATGTCTTTTGAATTTTATGTCATATATCAATATGCCAATTTAACATTTTTCATTAGATTGGTTTAACAATGACACAATTTTTTTATTACTGGAGCAAATGTTAAAAATGTTAATGTATGGAGCAAATGTTATATTATTATGTATTTATGATGCAAATGTTTAAATTGTAAATTTTTAAATTTTTGAAGCAAAATTTAAATTTTTAGAGGTGAACAAGGACCTTGTGTCTACATCATTAATCCCATCTCTGAAGAAAATGATAAATGTAAGCTTCAATGGCTTCTGAACACAAACTTAAAGGTACTATGTTTTTATATGTTTTCAATCAGTAAACTAATTAAAAATATAACTCTATTAGTACAACTAATTCAATTTTAACTCCTGTTGTAGTCTTCTTTTAAAAAAAATAATATTAATGACCGATTCATAATTAATACATACATAGATCTAAAATAAAAAGATCACATTGATTAAAAGTGTGCATTTAAAAAACACATCAGTAAAAAATGATTACTTATGAATTGCTTTTACAACTGATTCAAAAAACATTTGAATTCCCTTAAAGATGTGATAAAATTGCAATTAAAATAGATTTGTGGACATATTTTAATTTCCAGAAGTACATTTTCAAATTGGAGAAAACTTTGGTGCAAAGCCTTATTATTGTAAAGGCCATTTAGGTTTGAGCTATTTCAATTAAAGACCCCACAAATTCTTAATGACATCTGCGCAATATTAAAAGTATAAAAATTAGTTTATTTTTTAAAAACTTTTAAAAATATTATTTTTTCTTTGCATATTATGTTTATTTTTTTACTGGATATAAATTATGCTTCACTATTTTATTTTCAATGTTCAATCTTGTTAAAATGGATGAATATAAACTTTTATACCTCTTGCATTTCTATAAATAGAGTAATTTCTTAAAATGTACGAACAATAATGATAAATGCTGTTAATTTTGAATTCTGTTGCTGTAAATATTTTGATGTATTCAAAAATATTCCCTATATATATATATATATATATATATATTGTATATCAAAATATATATTAGTGAATATTCGATCTTATACAAAACAATCACTACTTATGATACATATCTATTTAAATAAAACTAACTCTATAATAATTTTTTTTCTTGAATTTTGACTCATCAGATTATCTTAAATAATTAATTTATGTGAAAAACTATGGAATTTTGTTGCAGAAATATTTTATAAAAACATGTTTTCTTGTGAAATTATTTTAAAGATGGATAAATATTTTTATAGTCTTTAATTTAATATATTTTCTATTGAAATAATCAAACAATTTCATACCTTACATTTAAGCTTGCATCAAAACACTAAATCCCTTTAAAAAAATATTGTAAAGTAGTTTTGTAGTGTTTATAGTATCAATTTCAGTAAAAATATAAATCTATTGTTACCATTTGTTAAGGATATAATCAAGTAATTATCCAATTTAAAACTTAATTTTTATTAGTAAATGTCTAGACATTATTAAAAAAAATTTGTTTGGGTGTTATATTAGCTTTTTTAACAACATGAATGCCAGAAATTGACTCTTTTGTGTAGAACAAAATATTTTTTTAACAACTTAATAGAACACTTTTGCAATTTATGTTAATCCCTGTCACTAGGCACAATTACAAATTTCCTCTAAAACTTTTACTGTAGTTTTAACTTCAACTTAATTGTTGTTAAAGCTTACAGTTTTGCTATATCCATCTTTTATGATCGCCCATATTTTCAGAAATATGATACAGATATGTGTTTATTGGTTCTTAATTTTTTGAATGTAAAATTTTGATTTTAATGTATTTTATAAGTTTGTATTTTCAAGAAAATGAGAAATTATTGAATCTTTTGATACTTCATAACATTTTAATAAGTTGAACAGTCTTATGCTTATTATTAAAGTTTAATTTTTTAAAAAAATTTCATGCAAATTGTTTTTAAATAATTAGTTCTCATTTTGGCAAAAATCTACTATTTTTAAACAAACTCTATAACTAACAAAAAATATATAATGGTTAATACTTCTACAAAATTACAAAAGATAGTCTAAAGTTTATAAATTTTATAAAAAATTTATATATTTGTTTAATTTTATTAAAATCATGAAAAATACTATAAATGATTAACTAGTAATAATTATTTTTCGCTTTGTTTTGTTCTGCACAGTTAAAAAATAACCTTGGTGTGGGTTAAGCAATTTTTGAAATATCTATCTCTAATACAGCATAGTTATAAACAACATTCACAAAACTATTACCAATTACTTTTTATGTCTTTTAATGTGGCAAATTTTAAATATTTTTTGTCTACACACAAAATGTAAAATGTACTAAGAATGATTTCTTGTAATGTAAATAAATAAACCTGTAATAATAATAAACTTGTATGAATAATAGTAAATAAACTTGTTAATGTAAATAAATAAACCTGTAAAAAAATAAAACTTGTTAAAAATTTTATACATTTTGTGAGTCCTATAATTAACCACCCTCAATAGATATTTTAAAAATTGTTTCTAAAAGTTAAGTGAAAAAAAATCACATTAAGGGTTAGCAATTAATATTTAAGTAAAGTTTTAATTTAATAAAAACATTGTTATAATCAAACAAATTACAATTGAGAAAGGCTGGACTGAAAGCAGCAGAAAATATTTGATTTCCTGATGAAACAGAATGGAGTTCAAAACATAATTATTATAAATTTATCTAAATTTCAAAAAGCAATAAAACTAGATGGTTTTTTTTTATCCCATCTTCCTTGCAGATTTTGATAGTGATTTTGCTTCACTTAAATATTAATTTGCTACCTTTAATGTATATACTTTTATAATTTTATTTTCGAGAAGGATTCTTAAAACTATTTAGATATATATTAGAAGCGATAATTATGGAACACCTGTAAACATAGTTTGATTTTTTTTTCAAACCCATTATTTGACATATTTTTTTAAAATTTATAATATGCATTTTGTAGAAATTGGAAGGGAAATTACTTTAACGTCTAGGAGAGACTTATAATCAAAAAGTTATATATAAAGTTCAGCATTTCTGTCTCATTTAATAGTACTAAGCTGTTGACTTTAAATTCGCTAACATGGATGATTTCAAGGAAAAAAGAAGTCCGGTATACATTAAGACTGGGGAAAAAAATTCATAAAATTCATCCACTTGATATATTTTTTAGATGTGTTATCTCCGTAACTATCACATTTATTCTTGTTCTTACAATTTCAATTTTTAAAGTATACTTTAATTAATTTTTTAGTGCTAAATCTTATTTCCTCATGTATTTTTTAGGGATGGATACCACAATATCTAATAGACCAAACTTTATCTACTGTTATGTTTGAATATATCCAGTCCTTAAGAAAATATACTTCAACTTAACTATAATTTCTTAATCATTACTGTGTTTAAATGATACTCATTTCTTAAATCCTAAACAAATGTTTAGATGCTTTTTATCTTGACATTTCATAATGCTGATATCATTTTTAACGCTATATGATTTAGAGTCATTTTTCAGTTTTATAATGTACATAATTACACTTGGGGCTTATGGTTGTATTCGAATCCATGTTTTCAAAATTGTATTTTATTTATATTGATACTATTTTATGTATGCCCTATCTTCTGTTAATTACATATTCATTGATTTTATTTTTTATTTAAATCTTTCTAATGCATTGAAAATTACAAATTTTTTTAACATTGATGCTAGTCGGTGCTTTTGAATTTTTGCAAATGGACTATGAAAAATTTTCATGTTATTCTTATTGTTTTTATCTATTATCAATCTATTTTATGAATAATTTAAAAAAAAATTGAATTTGGTTAACAGAAATTATTTACATTTTTAAGTTGATAGACGAAGTTTAAAAATTTCTAGATACCTATTGCATACTATCCTAGGTCTCAAATAAATTTATGAGGTTTATAATCACCATTCCCAAATAAATGAAAAAAATGGTAAAAAATAAAAATAAAATTTTTTAGATGCTATAGTGATCTTTTGCTTTGAATTTGTCTGCTTGTAAAGAGAAGGCTTTATTTTTTGTTATTTTTATAAATATTTTCAATAAAATAAATTAATTCAAAGTTACATGAATTTATCACATCATTCACTAATAAGTTTTATTCCATAATTGTTTTCTTTTTGTCTTTATACTGTGTGTTTAATTTCTGAATTCTTAATTAGACAATTTGTATTTTATACATATGTGCCATTGTTTAATTTATAATTCATAATTATGTATGTCGTGTTACATATAGTCAATTTTTTATCATGATTGTCATATATATATATAAACGGCTGAGTGGTAGCGCTTTGCTCTTCCGTGCCACAAGTCTTGGGTTCGTTCCTTGAGCCGGGCAAGGTTGACTCAGCCTTTACCAAGCATGCTTGGACACTAAGCACTGGGAGTTCCGTATTCGGCTGACCACCTGATCGGAGCATCTGCTCTTACACCTCAGAGCCCAAGGTCAAGAAAACTAAGATGGGCATAGTAAGCCTTCTGTCGTGCCACTGAGTTTAGTTTATATATGTAAACTTAACTGCCAATTTACTTTACCATACACCATTTCTTATAATAAATTGGTTTTTATTTTATGTAAAATTTTAGCGTTAACTTATTTTATATGGATTATGTCTAGTCAATTTTAAATCGAAAAAACCATTTAAATGTATGTGTAGTTTATTAAGTTTTTAGTGTAACATATTTTCTCAATGAAAGCTTGGGGCTTTTACTGCATATATTTACTGCTTAATAAAACTTTTCGACGTTTAAAGAACATTCAAAGTGTTTTTGTATGGCTAGAAGTCCTTGTTTTAAAGAGCTTAATATACTGTTTCTGTGAAGTGCAACAAGAGCCTTATTTTTACTCTATTATAAATTATACATTTCTTATTATACTGTTATTAAATTCATTATCTTAGTTCTAAATATTATGGTATTAAAAATGTGAAGTTGCAATTCAAAAGGACTGAACTACAAAATTTTTCATTTCTAAAAAATTGCTGACGTTTACACTATAATAAATTTAAAAACACATTTACCTTCTTTCATTATTTTTGTGTAGCTTAGAAAAAGTGGAGAGTAATGCTCAAAGGATTAACTCTTTACCTGCCATTTTCTTAGCACTTAACTATTTTGAATAATAAGCTTTTTATTAATATTTATTGTTCCTCAATACAAAATATTTTTATATGAGGTATATTTTGTATCAAGGGGTTTTTGCTGTGTACTATAACTGTCAGAAAAATATAATTTTCAAAATCATTATCAAAATTTTTGTTACTTCATCCTGTCTGAACATTTATAAAAGACCCAATAATAAGTTTTAAAATCAACAAAATGGTAAACATTAGAAAAATTATTTTAAAAATATCATTATTTTCATTGTTTAGTTTATAATAGACACATCTGTATGCTGAATACTTTTGCTATGTTTTATAAATATATGGTGATAAATTTTTTTGTATTAAGATGAAATAAAACGTGACTTTAGACTACTTTAAATTAAATTATGGTGTCATTTTAAGCTCTTGCCGAGTAAATTAAAACCATTACCTGCAATGTAACAGCTCAATTATTCATTTATTTTATTTAACCATACTTGCTTCAATGATTATACTTCCAAAATAAAAAATTCTTGGAAGTCTTAATCTATACAGTGTAGCAAATATATATTGAGACTTCCAACTTGTAATACATTATAGGTTTCATTTTATGGTGCTTTCTGTATATCTGTTTGTAAATTATGCTGTATGGATGTCATGTTTTTTTTTTTTTTTTAATCAAATGTAGTATTTTCTAATCAGTTTTGATTTGCTCATTAAACAATTTTATTTTTGAGTGTATAATTTGATTGAATCAAATATCTCATTTTAATTCAAAGCAAATACCTTAGTTCACCTAATACATTACTTTACTCATCCAATTTTGATACATAGATATTTTTGTATATACTCCAGGATAAAATTTCAAGCCACATCCTGCACCATGAGACACTACACCAATAAGAGTTGATACTCCATTTTTATCTGTTTGAATCAGTGGTCCACCAGAATCATTCTAAAATTTAATGTAAATTACATTAAATTCATGATTTCAATATCTTCCATTCTATTATATTTATTATGTTTACAGTGAAATAGAAAGGGAATACCCTGACTAACTTTTGATCTAATTATTGGATTTTACATCGTAGGACTCAATCTTAAGGGTTTCAGGAACTAAGCTAAAATACTTTGATTAATTTGGGTAGGCCATATTATGAGTTTTAAATATCTACTATGATGTTTCAAAGGCTTTAATCACTTTGATAGAGGGACATTGTGTGACCCTTGAGTATTTTTACCAGTGGGTTTTTAAAAATTTAGACTAATTCTAGACTAATTCTATTTAGAATTCAAAATTTCTTAGAATAATTCAACAAATATTATTGATGTTTATATATGTTTTTCTTATCTATAACATGATATATNACAGAGTGCTTACTGATATTGTATCAATAAAGCCAAAGCAAAATATATTAATACAATATTGTGAGGAGCACTCGAAAAAATTTTTTTTAAAAATTACAGCAAATAAAATAGATCACAAAAAGCGAAAATAAGTAAAAATAACATGTAAAAACAGAAAATGAAATAAAATAAAGAGAAAAAACATTAAAAAGGGACTATAAAGCGAGTAACAAAATCAGATCAACTTACATGGACGGAAAATTTTTCAAGAATGATTTAAAAATGTTTTCGCAGAAAGATTGCCAGATTACAAAAGATGAAAACAAAAGCGCAAATTGAGTGTAACAAGAGGGTTTTAAAGTGTCGTTCTTACTGCACTGCTGAAGAGATTTGTTATTCTGAGCTTTGATTTGTTAGTTACCAAGGATGGGCCCAAAATGGATGTGCGCAAGGTAATATTATACAAGGTATATATATATATATTGCTGTTATTTTTTGAAAGAAAAAATTGTTTCAGCTCTGTTGTTATTCCACTTTGAAAAGAGGAAATGAGGAAATACACTAAGATGTGCACTTTCTAAAATTAAAATTAACAAAAAACCATCATATTTTCTCCCCCCCCCTATTTTAATAAAATTTAAGCAGATCTAGTGAATTCAAAGTGCACAAAAGGTGTTCTGGTTAAAAATATACAATACCTGACAAGAATCTTTTCCTGTTATACCCGCGCAAATCATTGTTTCCGTCACTTCATCTATATTATCATAAGGATCATCATCATAGGCACTCTTACACAAGTCACGGTCAATTAGAGGAACTAATACTTTCTTCAACGTGTCTGAATTTTTGCCATCTAGAAGTTAGAAAGGAAATAAGGCAGACATATTTTGTTTCAATCGAGAAAAAAAAAACGTACACTTTAGAAAGGATTAACTAAAAGTAATATTTTCAAAATATGTTAACACATTGGTTTGCAATTTGAAAGTAATGTACTTTCTTAAGTGGTATTTTAGTACTAAAATTGAATTAAAAATTCTTGCTAATTAGATGCATCCTTAATTATTGATTGCAATTTAATTCATTATATTTAGCAAAATATTAGCATAACATCCTTCATTTTCTACCTAAAATTTTTAATTTTTTATATTGATTTTAAAGAAATTTTACAAAGTAGAAGGAAGATTCATATTTAACAACTGTTAAAGATTAATTTTACAAAAAGAATTTAAAAATATCATTGACCCTATATTATTTGTTATAAGGTCACCAATAAAAGCAGAAAAATAGATTTTTCGCTTCCCCTCCTGTCTTTTTATGTGTGTCCACATCTTTGTAAAGCATTTCACAATTTTATGTAAAGCATTCTGCAAATAATCAATCTAATTCAAAACTTGTTTCTTAATTTTTTTTTTCTGTTTAAAACTTACAAAATGTTTTTCTCACTTTTAAGTTTTGTCTTATTAATATCTTATATTGCCTGCAAATTTTAGAATTCAATCCTGTAACAACTATATTGAATACGTAATGCTGAGTAGGCTAAAGTCAGCTGTTCAGAAGCACATTAAGAAACAGTTCATTATAGGGAAGCGCTCTTGACATCGTGTGACATTTGTGGGCATGGGTTTCCACGAAATTTCAATCCTCATGATGTGCCATAACTTCCCTAGAAGTGTGCAACAATATTTATGCAACTCCTTGTTGTATATAACATTTTTGAACTTGTACAATTTGACAAAAAAACTAAAATGTCATTTTAAAAAAAACTGGAGCTTGGCAAGAGAAGAGGACTGCAGATTTGAGATCAGTGATACAAAATTATCAAAGTCTAAGATTTATTATCATTTTTACTTTAACCTTTTATAAGGCTGAGGGAAGTATACTTCCCACCAACTTCATTAATTTTTAGATGCTAATGTGCAGCTATTTTTTCTATCTATGATTTGAGTGACCCTCAAATCATTGTTAAATATTAAAAAAAAAACGAAGAAGAACTTAGTTTCTATAAATGTGGGTAACAGAAAAGGTTAGTGTGGGATCAAGAGAAAAGCCAACACTTGGGAGCTATTTTCTCTTGTGTGTTATCCATTAGTTCAATTGATANATTGTTAAATATTAAAAAAAAATGAAGAAGAACTTAGTTTCTATAAATGTGGGTAACAGAAAAGGTTAGTGTGGGATCAAGAGAAAAGCCAACACTTGGGAGCTATTTTCTCTTGTGTGTTATGCATTAGTTCAATTGATCATTTCTCATCAAGTTTATTTCTTGTTAAAAATACAGAATTTATAAACTTGGTTATTTATAAGCACAAAACAAGGTGGACAATTCCTTATGGTAGGTAACATTTTGAGAAACTTTCTCCTCCAAAAAAGTACCTTTACTTAAAAATCAATATTAGGTGATAAGCATAATGAATTTTTCTATTTTTATAAATCAATCTCAATCCCACAAATATTTTAATGTAACATTACTAAAAAAATAGCCTTATACATGGTTAAATTGAGTCTTAATTTGAATTTTTATAGTTCTGATGTGGTGTGAAATATATTCAAAATATAAATCAAGATTTACTTTCTCTAGTATGTCCCCATCCAATCACTGTTGCATAACCTGTTGGATCATCTTTGTTTTTCGGCAGGCAAATAGTATTTATATATCCTTTAGATCCTGAAATATCAATTGGTTCTTTCGTTTTCAGTAAGGCTATATCATTGTTAAAAGTATCATCATCATATTTATCATGAATTACAAGTTTGGAAATCTGAAAAACAAACAAACAAACAAAAAACACTTGTAAATTAAGAGGAATTTAAAAGTTTTCAGATCGTGATACCTTCAAATAAAGTTACAAGCATGGTAAATATTTTTCCATACCGCGTTTAATTTCATTTTTTAATATGGTGAATTAGTTTTTCCTCTATGTTTGATAGCAAACACAAGTTATGAAAAGTTTAAGGTAAGAAGAGTTGGAAAAACCTCAACATTTTTACATGCCTTGCTAAGCATATTCATGCCAAGTATGAAACTTTTCCATGCTCAAGCTTACTTTTGGAATGCACATTTATGAAAACATATAACTATTATTAATCTGTTGAAGAAAAAAAAGATGTGACCAATACATATCTATACCGACATTTTAAATTTTAAGTATGGATTAGAAACATTAAATATTTTAAACAAGGAATCATAAAAAAAACTTTTACTCTCTCTCTTATGTGCCATTTTTTTACACTATTTGATATCTATTGCGTGAAAATTTGAGGGTATTTTACAATATTTCTGATTGAATATGTACATGCCTATCAAAATCAGGTACTTTTAAAAAATGTCGAGCTAAAAAATTTTCGAGTCATAGCATATACCCTATATCTTGATTCAAATATGATGAAATTTAATGAACAAACAGATGTTGCACTTTTTTTCTTTTGTAATAGCAACATTTTCACATAAAAATAGGAAAATCAAAAAACTAAATAGTTTTTAAAATTTTTTGGTATTAAATAAATGTGAAATTGTCAGAAGATTCTCTCAATAAAATTAATTTCTTAATATTTTTAATGTTTTGTTTATTTTTTTTAAAACAAAATTTAGCATCTTAATATTAAAAAAAAAAATTTCACTTGACAATATTTAATGTCAATTTGATTTTAGTTTTCCAGTACTTGGGATCCAAATATCTGCTGTTATTTTTGTCTCTCAATTTACTAGTATAATAAATATTCTTTAAATTTAACATAAGTTCAATTTAAGAAATTTTTTAAAAGGTATCTGTACTTCTCTAATTTTGTTAAGCTTACTTTGTATTTTTTGACTGTGGAATCTCTTTCTCTAGATAATTTATGAAGTCCGACTAAAACTTCGTACCTCCTTGCAATAGGACTGCAAAAATAAATTTTAAAAATAATATAACAGATAATTTGTGCGAATAAATTCAAATTTATATTTATACTTATCTTACTAGTCTAAACAATGAGCCGCTGTTACGATCCAGTTTTCATTCAGTATTGCAGCCCCACAAACATGTTCAAATCCAAATTCATCAAGTTCTCTCAACGACACCTTAAATAAAATGAGAATGAAATACATTATACGCTATGATAAAGCATACAACTGCACAGCTAGCAACTACAATGTGTTATTTGATATTGATCTAATTGAAGACAATACCAAGTATAGCTCTATAACAGCATTCTTCATTGGTGACATGGCGTAGCACTACTCCCCGAATTTACAAATAATTCTAATTCGCATATTGCACACAGAGACTAACATAAGAATCTATTAGGACTGCGGTATGCAAGTAACCTTTAGGGGTCGCTGCCAAGGAACTAATATTTTTCTAACTTCAGTGACAAGAGCAACCCAGAAACGAGCGGTACAACCGTGGCGACTGGGTCGTCATTCTAACAGAGATTTACCCTCCAATTAGTCAATTACTAAGATTAATTACGAGTAAATCACTTTGTATATAGCTTTCGTACTATATACAAAGTGATTTACTCGTGATTTACTACCTGATTTACAAAGTGATTTACTACTTTCGTATAAAATATAAGATATGATTTGAAAATCATATCTTATATTTTATCAACTTGTATATATGTAAATATCTCATTTTACCCAGACCAACTTATTTTATAATCTCGTTTTATTCATTATAAATTCTTTATTGTTTATAAAATACAACCGATCTTATTTATCATATGTCTAGAACTTACGTTAAGCCTAATCGTGCAATTACGACCTGTAATTGCTTTGGTGCCAGGCACCCCCCCTCCTCACTTTATTTCCTCATCACTCACTACTCCCTATAATCGATTAGATGTTGTTGTTGTTGACGTATGCCTGTTTTAGGCATGGGGAGGGGTGATTGTTCTTGTTTTCCAGTGGCGCCATCTATGGCCAAAAGTTTGACTTATGCCACACCATACGTCACACCCGTTTATAGGGCGGACCCATTCATACATCCATTTATACATCCACAGATCATAATTTTGACCNAACAACAACAACACTGTAATAACCGCCTTTAATGTATATTTTAGGATCCTTGTCAGAGAGGCTTTTCAAAAAGTACACGCATCTGGTTCTCAAAATAGTAAAACTACCAAAAAAAGCAAAACATTATGCAAATCTAACGAATCACTATTGATGAATATGAATGAGAACATCGAAACCTATTTGATTGTCAAAAGATACGGAAGTTGTAAGGCAATTATTCGAAACATCAAGTTTCATCAGACAATAAAACTGGTCTTTAGTTTTTCATTCCACCCTAAAATATTTTTGACCCCTAATAGTCAACCTTGACTTCATTTTTGACAAGTTTTCTAAAAATATCTATAGAGAGTGGTGATTCCAGAACAACCCATATATAAATCTTGTTTTTCTAATTTTTACAGTACAAAATGTAAAGAATGAATAAAAATCACTTACCATCCAAGGAAATTCCCCTGGAACTGCATCAGTTCCACCTACTATGCGATCATGAGAGTCTGATGCAGCGATACTTTTGCCACAGTTTTTGGAAGTTGCATTCAGGAATGAAGAGGCAGCAATGCCTGGGATGAAAAATAATAATTATCTCATTATTCAAATTTGACAGTCAGTTGAATATCTAAAAATTTTTAATAGTTTTAATACTTACCGATTATTGTTGTTAATGTCAAAAGAACTAATTGCGATTGTTGGCATCTGAAAAAATTAAAAGAGCAGAATTATATATTATTAAATTTAAAAAAAAAAAAACACACTTAAAATGAGTGGAAATAATATCTTACAACCACAATTTGTCTTTATACATGAACATTTTTAAGGTTATATTGTAAAACCGAAAAAATTATGCAACAGCAATCTGCATTGCTATATTTTCAACGCCAATAGATTGATTACACTATTTATGACAATTCCAACATCTGCTCAGTTTTATTATCTCGTATTAAAAAAGAAAACATACAAATTTTTTAAAAAACAAATAATGTCATATGTAGGAATACATAACCTTTAATCAGTTATAATGTTTTAAACTGTTATCATTATTGTTATCGTAGTTACCATACTGGTATTAAGGGAACGGATCTCTTATATCAAACACACAATGAAAGCTGTGTGAATTAACTCTTATACTTGACAGGAATCAGCAGAAATAAACAAAAATTTTTCTCTGCATGCTTTTAATGCAATAATTCCCACATAAAGTTAATAGAAATTAAGCCCAAAATTGCGTAATTCCCGAAGATGTATAGTTTGTTAAAAATTTGAGAAGTACTTTTATTTGCGTAAACTTTTGTATAAATTTTACAAAACTTTTTTCATAGACAAAAAATTGTTTTTTTTTTTTAAAATCTGATTTGAATTGTTGTGTTGAATGAAAAAAATAATAAAAAATAAAATAATGTGGAATAAAATATTTTAAATATACATAATTTGATTCTGCATTTTTTACTTTATAAATTTATGAATATTTTTAATTCACTTTTTAATAATTTTTTCTTCTTTAAAAATCCTTAAATATTTTTCCTTCTCTGTATATTTTTAACTATATATATATATATATATATATAAAATCAAAAATAATGAACAACAAAAACAACGTCTTTTAAATTTTCTCATTTAAAAAATATTACTTTAATAATTAATGCTCATTTTTTTGAAAAAATGGTATAGTTCGGATAAAAAGAGCAAATAAAAAAAGTGCTAAGTTTTTAAATCGAAATTTGAACTTGATCATAATATCTTGTTGTATTATAAATGAAAGTATGGTTTTAAACAAAAATAATTAAACGAATTTTATAAGTAAAAATTGATTATTCAAATGATTTTTTTTTAAAAATGAGTTATCACAACATTTTTAAAAATAATAAGTTCTTATTGTGAAAACTAACGTTCTTTAACTATAGAAAACTTTACTTTGACCAACCTTTGAAAACTTGAGTTCATCAGTAACTTAAACTCAATAATTAAGTTTTTATTATTATTGTCATTTTTCATTTTTATTGACTTTTATCCTTTTGAAGTGTTCATATAAAATTTTACAAAACCCATTATCAATAGTTGCAAAAATGATTGATATATTTATTTCTGTAAAGTTTAAATTTTCATGTAAATCTTCTCAAATTTTTCAGGATATATTACTTTTATGGTTTCAAAATACTAAAAAAATGACGTATTCATATAAACCAAAACTGCATTATAACTTTAAAAAGTTTTAAAGCCATGGAAATTTTTTTAAATTATGTTATTTTTTCAGCAAAAGCTTATTTTTTTTCGAAAACGGGTGTTTTGTTGTGATTTACATAGACCATTTAATCGCATTAAATTTATCGAGTCCCGTCATCACTGTCTTTAATATTTATTTTTAGAATTCTCGTTAAAAGCGGAATAAAATAAGTTATGCATACTAAATTCCGCAAATATTTATTGAAAGAAAAATGAATGTTAAAAGGAAAGATGAACACTCCTATGCCATTGCATTGTTCAAAAATTTATTATAGTAGACAAAAATTTTAGAATTGGTCGATGTATTCTTTTTTTCAAGAGGTAACTAGAATAATAAAAAGTCAAAATCTTTGGGGTAACTCGAATGAAGCGAAGGTACCTTCTAAATTCGGATCTAAGTACCAAAATAGCATAACATACAGAAGGGAGTGCCTATGTTGAGAACCTTAGCCTATTTGGAACCCCTGCATCTAGTATGGGCACCCTTTAAAATTATGCAAACAAAACCTTAAATCGGGATAAAATTTGTTATTCAGACTCGTCACAGGATGGACACACAAAAATAACTTTTTTTTTCTTTTTCCTTTTCTTTGACCGCAAAACTTTTAATGAACCCAGTACACGGAGCACACAGCACTGTAAAATGTCAAAAATTTAAAATTTTAGATTAAGGCATTTAAAAATAAAGAACTCACCTTTATTCTTTTATTAGGGATAAATAATTAAAGCGGCATCACTTTACATATTAAAAAAAGCATGGTTATGTAACAAATTTATGAAAATTTTTGTTCCCCGCAATACTGCTTTGTTGCCTTTCTACATCGTACTGAATTTGGAAAACGGAATATTCCTATTATTCCTTCACCTCATTTACACTGCTTTAAGAGTATACCGCCATCTAAATTCAAAATTATTAATTAAACATTTTTACAGCAGTGCCCACATTATGTTTAATACTCGTTTAATATTATTACCTTATAAATCTTTAAATACAGTGAATCTCTTTACCACTAAGATTCTTCTTCGAAAGTGGATCATTAACAAAAATTCGCGTACTAGGTCCCACAAATTGATATTTATACAAAGAAAATAACAAAAATGTTATCAAAATCTGACGAATGAGGAATGATCTTGAATGATCGACGATGATTTAACATGGCGAGATTAAAAGTATCGATTTCAGTTTATTGGCTGGATAAAATTTGATAATTCTAATAATCACCTATAACATATCTCCTAGAAGAGAGAAGACCTTCGTACTGATCACTTTAAAATTCCGTAGGAATGAACATAAACTGCGCAGAGGGGGTGTATATATATATTTCTGGGACACAAATATATATATATATATATATAGACATATATATAGTGCTAAAATAAAAATAAGAATAAATCTAATTTATACAAAGTAGAAATACACCTGCAGAAATTTTTTTTAAATTCATATTAATAAGTTTTACTGTTAATTTCTGTACGTTTCTTGCTGTCAATGGTAACTAACGTTATGCTTAATGATTTGATTCTCGATTTAGTGAATGTGACTTAAATTAGTTTTCTCGTTCAAGACACAAAAATAGTTTCAAAAGAGACTAACCATGTAGTTAGGCCTGATAGTTAGTCTGAGAAATAAATTTGGTAATTATGAAAATTTATTTCCGGATAAGTTTCTAAAGAGGAGAAATTTCTGCATTAATAATTAAAAAAAAATCTGTCTACTGAACATTAAAGAAAAAGTTTTCTTGAGATAACTATTTTAGAATTTTTATTTTAAATTATTTTCACACATATTTTGAAAGAAAAATAAATTAAAACTTTATTTTATCATAAAAGAATATATTTTTTTTAAAAAAAATTTACTTTTAGGAGACTATATTATCTGGCTGAAATTTAAAAAATAATTTTTTGACGAAGCTTGAAATGAGAGTTTGAAAAAAAAAGAAGAAAAAAAAGGAAACAGCCCTATATGCTCGTTTAAAAAAATACATATTGCTACATTAAATAAATGGATATAATATTTGTTTTTCGAACTATTGTAATGATCATTGTATTTAAAAAACATCAACTAGAGCTGACTTAAAATGTTCTCAGCGGTAGACGGTTAGAATACCCTTGCCATCGGGCTAACCGTGGGCATATTCATAGCTTTCCTCTCCAAATGCGGATTTTCATCAAAAAACACCCAAGAACGCCAGTTTGTCCAAATACTTGCTCCAGGAGTTGTTCTGTACGTAGTTTATCTTTGATAGTCATAAACTCAGAATTGGTTGTCTGTACAACGCTGGTTATTAAATAAAATAACGATTCTTCTTCACAATGGCATCTCTGCTGTGAACTTTCAGCAAGTCGATCGTTTTTCTGCCGTGAATTAACTATCTCCTGTCCACATAAATATCACGGCTTAAAGTGATGTATTTATTTGAGAAATAACACTGATTTCTCATGGTTTATTAACATAAGAAAAATATTACGTTAGAATTTAGGTAGTATTTAGGATTCAGTTTGCGGCAAATTTGTGATATTTTATGATAAAAAGTTAGAAACGATATTTTGATGCAACCTTAAACCTAACTTTTTAAAAAAAGTAAGAGTAAATTTAAGTACGTTAATATGTACATTATTTAAATGAACTTATAAAAACAGATAATATCGTATTCTAATATGAAGAATTAACATTACCTTTTTGAAAAGTAACGCAAGTCATATTTCAGCAATGGCATAACTTATATAAAAGGGGCCAAGTTAGCATTTTAAGTTACCTAAACTAAAAAAAAAAAAAAAAAAAAAAAAAAAAAAAAAAAAAAAAAAAAAAAAAAAAAAAAAAAAAANAGTAAACAGTTTAGAGTAAGTAAAATTAAATACATTTGTTAATAATAAGAATAATATCAAGGGAGCGGAAAGTAATGTCGTTTCAGTGCATTCGATACTTGTTATCAAGATTTAGTTTTTAATCAATAATGTATTCACCCTCGTCAGCAACAAATAACCTTTCAATGCCAGATCGGAAAAAAAATTAATTGGTTTTTAAGACTAACGAATATTTAATGCACCAAAACGACATTACTTTCCGGTCCCCCTAATATTTGCCAATGAGGGCAGAAGCCTACGTTCACAAATAAATGGAAATAGATGATAGAAAATGACGTCATTTTTCAAATAGTTAAATAGTAAGATTGTGGGAAAATGTTTTGAAAAAATTGAATTGCTTATTTTTACCAATTTTTTCCCATTTATATCCAAGGGAAAATTTTATAATATCTGCAATTATATGAAGCATGTAACGTATATGTTAATCAGCGTTGCGAAATGTAAAGTGCTTGTTACTGCTAGTAGCTTGAAAGAATATTTTTAAAAAAAGACAATGAACAAAGACAATTATGTAGTAGGATGATTTCCAACTTTTTATTGCTTATTCTCTTAAAAATAATCGTCTGGAGTGAAAATTAATCCGCGTTTCCAATAGGCTAATGACTTAAGATCATCAATTTCCTTTTGACGATTATCTAAATATCCTTGAATTGCAAGCAGTTGTTCAGCTGAATACTTGCATTCTTTCCTTTCTTTTTCTTCTCCAAGGAGTGCTACATTTTCTCCTCTTATCATTAGAATGCCTTGAGGAATGTCCCCATAATCATTCCCAAATTGAACACGCAAAAAAGATTCAGACATAACTAAGTTGGCAAATTGGTCAACAGTTCGGAGAGTCCCAACATACATTCTTCCATCTCGCAACCAAACGAATATCCTCTTATCAATTTGTTCCAGAAGTGAAGCTGCACCAGGAAGATCCTAAAAAAGTAAAACATATTTGCAAGTGCCCAATTTCTTTCAATTGCCAAGAGCTTGGTACTTAATATGTGGCTCCATACACATATGGCACTAATATTTATATATATTGGGAGTACAAATTAGTTCGGTCGGTTTTTTTGTGGTCAAAAATGCATTTATTTCAGAACAAAATGAATGAACATATTAATCAAAGTATTGTCCATCGCTGGCTACTACTTTTTCCCACCTTTCAGGCAATTTTCGAATTCCATCTCGAAAAATTGTCTAGTCTTTCAAGGCGATCCAAGTTAGGAGACAATTTTTGATTTCTTCGAACGAAGTGAACCGGTGACCTGCCAAAACGTGATGCATCCGCCGGAACAACCAGCAATCAGAAGAAGCAATGTCCGGTGAATATGGTGCAGTAAAATATCCCACTTGAGGGTTTCCAAATAATTTTTTGCGACATGAGACCGACCGTTATCATGCAGAAGAATAACTTTGTCATGTCTGCTCGTATTCCGGCCGTTTTTCTCGTAATGCATGGCGCAAGCGAATCAATTGTAGCCTACACCGATCACCCATAATGGAATCGTCAGGACACGATACACGACTATACAACACGACTCACCATTCTTCATTCCCCATTGACCATTCTTGAAACGTCGAAACCATTCCCTACATGATTCATCAGTTGGAGCATTGTCACCATAAACTTCTACAAGCATTCGATGGGCTTCNCAGGAAGATCCTAAAAAAGTAAAACATATTTGCAAGTGCCCAATTTCTTTCAATTACCAAGAGCTTGATACCTAATATGTGGCTCCATACATATATAGCACTAATATTTATATATATTGGGAGTACAAATTAGTTCGGTCGGTTTTCTTGTGGTCAAAAATGCATTTATTTCAGAACAAAATGAATGAACAGATTAATCAAAGTATTGTCCATCGCTGGCTACTACTTTTTCCCACCTTTCAGGCAATTTTCGAATTCCATCTCGAAAAATTGTCTAGTCTTTCAAGGTGATCCAAGTTAGGAGACAATTTTTGATTTCTTCGAAAGAAGTGAGCCGGTGACCTGCCAAAACGTAATGCATCCGCCGGAACAACCAGCAATCAGAAGAAGCAATGTCCGGTGAATACGGTGCAGTAAAATATCCCACTTGAGGGTTTCCAAAATTTTTTTTGCGACATGAGACCGACCGTTATCATGCAGAAGAATAACTTTGTCATGTCTTTGCTCGTATTCCGGCCGTTTTTCTCGTAATGCATGGCACAAGCGAATCAATTGTAGCCTACACCGATCGCCCATAATGGAATCGTCAGGTCATAGTATACAACACGACTCACCATTCTTCATTCCCCATTGACCATTCTTGAAACGTCGAAACCATTCCCTACATGATTCATCAGTTGGAGCATTGTCACTATAAACTTCTACAAGTATTCGATTGGCTTCAATTGCACTTTACTTCCAACTAAAGCAGAATCATAAAACCTCCCGCAAATGCTGCTTAGTCACCACAAAATTTGACGTATTCAACAAAGTAAAAAACAGGGTTTTTGTATGAAACTCAAAGCGATATCAACTGAATATTATTGACTGATGTCTAACCTCTCTGAAACCACCGAAACCAGCTGTCACTATGAAACATTCATAACAGCCAGAGCCATCTTTTGAAAACGGACCGAACTAATTTGTACTCTCAGTAGCACGCAAAAATATTTAATCATTGTATAAGTTCAATGTGTATTCTATTTGAATCAAACGTACATGTAAAGAAAAGTGGTCGCTCAGGGGATAGAGCGCTCCCCTTCCTGCTACCCAGGTTCGAATCCCAGTGATAGTGATGGATACAAATTCTGCTCCCAACTCAAACAGACCACAGTGCTGACGTAAAATATCGTCAGTAGTAGACGAATCATGAATTAGAATAAAATCCTAGATCTAACCTAAAAGAATATCTAACCGTGGGAGATTTTCAGAGTTTTCTAAAATGTTAATTTCATCAAAAATTCCTCTACGAAGGCTAGCTTGCCCTCATGCTTGATCCAGGAGCTCCATTGTCTTTTAAATTGGGTTCAAAACTACAGCATTACTAAGTTTAAAATGCCGTAAACCAAAAATATGGGTTGACTGTTCTAATCCGGTTATAAAGTAAAACACATATTCAAAACGCGATATAGGGAGTTCAACCGAGTAAGAGTTTTTCTATCTATAGCAGCGATATGCTTGTTTTCAATTAATTTTTATTTTAAAGTCATTTCTGTGCTCTTCCTTGCAACGCACCTTCCAATCTCTTTACAACTAGTAATCATCTGTTTTTTCTTCTGGGCCCTTTAATGGCATGGTGCAGGATGATTTTACGACAGTGCTTACCAGTTTTTAAAACCATCCCAAATTGCATTTACCTCTTTTCGTGTGCATAAAAATTGTGAAAAGGTGAAATATTTATAAGTTTGCACTTGGTTCCACCTCCTCGGACTCAGAGTTCATCTCAGCTCGGGAGTAAGAAGAGAAACATCTCCGCGCTTGAAATTGAGACAACTCTTAATGCGCGAAGCACAAACAGTGACTTACTCAGTCACTTACTTCGCTTTATCATCTGCTATTATACCTTTCGTTTCTCTAGCTAATTAAATATATTTTTAATTTAAAAACTGTTGTTTTCCCAGCAAAATGTCTCAAAAGGGACAAACTATTCACTCAAAAGAGAGAAATATCATAAAAAATAGCACGAAATATCAAATTTATGAAATATTTATTGTTAAAAAAAGCAGATAAAGTTTGAAAACTAAATATTTTTGCCATACGATCGCCAAGTAGCAACCTTGTTCAGGATTGTTCACATCCTTCTCCCAAAAATAACGAAATAGTATCGTCGCTTACCACGTGATGAAGGCGGAACCAAGTGCCAACTCCTAGTGAATGAGCTATAGATTGCAGTTTCCGAACTCACTCTAATTCTAGGATTTTATACGAATATTTTAAACTACAAAACCAGACACCAAAATCCCTTTTCTCCGGATAAACATGCACTTTCCTCGACGTATTTTCATTTTTTACCTTCAAAATATCGGATAGCCACAATCTAAAAAATATAGTCCCAAAAGTTGGTCTAAAGTTGGAGATTTTACTCTTTAATGATGATTAACATTTTTATTTGTATTAAGGTAATATTCTTCAATTTGGAAGACTGAAAGGAGTGTCTTTCACACTGTGAAAAAAAGTCATCAATCCTCAATTCCCTTACGTGGTGTTTCATCAAAATCATTGTGAAAAAAGTGTATGTGTAACGATTCAAAGAGAGTCGACAAATTTTACAATCATTTATTTTTTTATGTCTCGTAACGTGAAAACAAAATTAAAAAAATTAATGCCACTTCATTTTTAATTTCAGTGTTCTTATACGCCGGTTTATGAATGAAAATTCCATTGTCTACTTAGATCATTACTAGCTATGAAAATGCTTCCTGAATCAAAGTTTCAACCAAATTTTAATCGGTACAGTGCACAATAAGCGACATTTTTACCTTAGAATTGTTTTACTTGTAAATTTTAACTTCAAAATGGTGTTTCTCAATTATAATAAAATCTTAAAAACCGCTATTTATGGTGACTCTTGAAATGTACTACTTTCTCTAAATGCACTGTCGTAAATTATACAAGTCTTCTTTTTATTGCTGAGATGAACTGTTATGTAAAAAATTGATAAATAAAAAACGCACAGTGCAATTATGGTAATTACCACCAACCTATTAATATACTTTTAGAATCTTGGCCAAAAACGAAAAAGAAAATGTACACAAGTTGCAAATATTGATAACTAAATCGGATTGTGTGAAATGTAATTTAATGAGCATTGGACCAGAATCGGTTATGCTGCACCAAACTTATTGAACTTACTCAAGGTAATGAAACCAACCGATGTAAGAAATTAAATGACGAGTAAACAGAAAAGAAATAACTAGACTACTTTGGGTTTATTTTGAATAAGATAGACCCTGAAAGAAAGTGAATATGGAATTATAACTTTCAGAACCAGTTTATTTGCGGGATTCTAGTGAAAGGCTTTTATAATAATAAATTTTCCCGGAATTTCCTTTTATTCGTGAAATAAACTTTTTATAATTATAATCACATTTACGAACTAGTTTTCATAACTAGTTTGCTTTTCCCCGTACTACATATTTATTTGTAACTATATGTATACTTTTCTTCTTCGAGTCTAATTCAAAAAATATATGTTAAAAGTGGTAACTATGGAACACCCCGTATTTACAAAAATATTGAGCGTAACCCTTTATATTAAAGAATGAGTATTAAAGAATGAAAAACTTTAGAAGTTGTAAAAGTTTCAAAGAACAAAAATACAGTGAATATCAGATAGTTATCACAAAAATAGGTCTAATACATTGAACTATGAATTTACTTTTATTCAATTTTACTTCATTTTAGTGACACTGTAAAAATCTAAGAGTTCAATCACATAAGATTTCTCCTTAAAACGATAGTTTTATTGTGTGTATGAGAATGCCTACAGTATTAAATTTGAAAAGAAATTTTATTTCGTTATTCAAACAATAAATTCCTTAAGTATACTTATTTCCTAATAACACTTTTATGAGTACTTTTTAGCTATATAAAAATCAAACATATTTAATCCTTCCTACGCTTTCATTAAATTTTAACGGAATTTTAAATTATCGAAAATACAACTGAAATCAAATGTTGCGCAGGCACAACTCATTGCATTATAAATTTGCTAACAGTATCATCCAAACATATATTTATTAAAAAAAGTTATTTGAGGAAATTTTCTAATTTATATGAGATCTAAGAGGTGAAAAACAATTTTTAAAATCAAATTAAGCAATCACTGGTTTATGGCCAATTTCCTGCCATTCACCAAATGCCAACTTTATGGTATAATTGGTTTAACTCAATGGAGAACAGCAATATTTTATCTTACTTTTAGCAATTAAACTCAATATTTTTTAACTAATTATCTTACATACTATTACCTCAGACCAAGGGTTCCACTTTAAACCATTCATCATTGGATCTCTAAAACTTCACAACTTGATTTGATTAATATTTTCTGACTATTGGAATTGGTTTATTGGAATTACATACATTTGCATCTTGTGTGCTCAATTTAGGCTTATAAACCTTTGTCAACTAGCACAATACAGAATACAATCAAACTGAAGCACAATACAATCTGACAGCGCAATACAGAGAAGGACAGCACGAAGATAAATCCAGGGAAACAGCGGGATTCGAACCCGCTACCTATATACTTTGCACACCGTTTGGTGGGTGATACCGCTCAGCCAAGGAGGCCCCTCTGACTATAGATTAGTGCGACGAGCTCTTTTCGAAGCTTATAGCTCTGTATTTCCCTTCTGACTTTATTTATTTATTTATTAGTACACAAACTAGCAGGCTTGTTTGCTCAATTATATAAGCTGACATTGGTAGTCATGAACCCAAAATTGGGTCGGCTGTTCAACAACGATTATAAAAAGACACTTATACAGCCGCTGTAGCTCAAGGGATAGAGCCTCCCAAATGAGGTGACCCATTTATTCCATTTTCTGGAACCTCACAAACAAACATTTTTTTTACATGGAAAGTTTAGACTTTACTTGATTGTTTCGAAATGGTTACCGCTTGCTAGTTCTTCAAAGTTTGAAATTCATTTATCTCAGCGTAAAGATACCTACGGAGATGATTGGTATTGCCCTTCCGCTAAAGGCTCTGGAGCGTGGAGATAGAAGGTTTAAATCAAACTGTAACTTTGGAATGTAACTTTGTGTTGTCCTTTTCTAAATTGTGCTATTTGTTTTCCTTCAACTGGGTTTAAAACTCGTTCTTTGTATTAAGCGTACACGCTAAGATATGTTTGAGAATGAACAAATGATTTAAGTCAGCGTGGGGCTTTCCTGACCATCCCTATCTCGCTGATCCACAAAAGGATCTGTAGTGATGAGGTAGCGGGTTCGAATCTCGAAATAACTCAGCATGTATCACAGTGCTGTAATTCTTTGACTTGTATTATATGCTTTTTAATTTGACTAGGGTTTATAATCTGTTGAGCATACAAGTCTAAATACTGATGAATGAATGTGTTGAAGAATAGAATAAAATCGCAGTCAAATGGGTGCTTTCTTGGCTGAAGAATATTGTCTTTTCAATAAAGACTATGTGAAATGAGGAACGTGTTAAATCCCATCTGTTACTCTATACTTTTTATCCTTTTCATACATATATCTTCAAACTTGAGTACTCTAACAAATCATAAAGGTATTTTCACTTGAAGAACAGATAAACCAAAAAGTTATAATAGAACGTGATGAAGATTCAACTAGGGTTATGTTGTGCTACCTCTACGTTTCAGAATATTTGTTGGGAAGACAACACTCTTCGTTCGAACACACACACACACATATTTTTCCTTCTCTCGTTGGGCTGTTTCTTGACTGTTTTTGTGTTACCTGTTTTTTAATTTGAGAGATGTGTAGTAATTAATGAAGACACAGTCAAAAGTGACTTATATTTTTTCGTTTTAATCGAGTGCTGTGGTTTTAGTTAGTTACCCTCTCTTTTTAAATCCGAGCGCTGAGAGGTTCATTTCTGTTGGCATGCGTCAAAATAAAGTAAAAAAATCTCTTTTACTGCCATGTCCCAGAGTTTTATAAATTTATTTTGTGAAAAAGTATATGATAAATAAGGATTGAAATAATTTTTTTAAAGTTTTTTGACTGAAACTACGCTAAAAGGGCTATTTAAAAATTTGACTCAATTTAATAAAATGGGATAAATGGAGAAAAGGGCTCATATGTTCGTACTGTAGCTTTTTGAAATTAAGAATATTGGCTCGTAATAAAAAAGAAATAGATGTTAAAAATATAGAATCCACCTTCTCTTGTAAGACTATTTTGTTAAATTTAGTCAAATTCTCAAATGGGCCCCCTCATTGTAGTTTTTTTTCTCCATAAAATTAAAAAAAAAAGTATATATATTAGTTCTTTTTCAACATATATTTTTTCACAAAAGTTTTTCAAAAAAATATGCGATATCACGGCAATGGCCATGATTACGTAGAAAGAGTCAGAGAGCAAATTTCATTTAGAATCGGCTCTAACGACACATAGAACAGTAATAAAATTACACAAATAAGTCGAAACATTTAATTAAATGAGAAAATCAACTTATAAAAATCGAAGGATGAGCGAATCCATGTATCAAAAACGTTAAGAACTACAGAATTAACCAGAAGGCGTTAAAAAATCAATAAATTAGTGAATGATAAAATCACCAAAATCGAATCAGTATCTCTTTTACCAGCTGACTCATGTATCCATTAATTCATGAATTCATCGTTTTATTGATTTCTTAACCCACTGATTCATTTGATTTAATGATTCTTTGACTCATTGATTCTTTAATTAATTTATTTGCTATTTTATTTATTCGTTGACATGCTAATTTGTTTCATTGATTGATGATTTTTTTTATTGATTTGATGATTTTTAATTCGTTGAATAATTGAGTCTTGAACACGCAGATTGATTGTTGTTGTCAATTTACGTCGCACTAGAGCTGCACAATGGGCTATTGGCGACGGTCTGGGAAACATCCCGGAGGATGAACCGAAGACATGCCATCACAATTTTGATCCTCTGCGGAGGGGATGGCACCCCCGCTTCGGTAGCTCGACGACCAGCGCGCGAAGTCAAGCACTTTACGGTAGCACAGTTTAACGAGGACCAATACCGCACACCCTCGGTCCCTACGCAGATTGATCCAAGTGGTCACCCACCCGCACACTGTCCGTAGTCAGTGATGCTTGACTTCGGTGATCTGCTGGGAACCGTGTCCACTGCGGGACCACAGATTGATTGAGATACTCATTTATCAACCTACTCGTTTATTCATTGATTTATTGATTTCCTGGCTTTTTAGATTTGGTGATTTGTCAATTCGCTCACTCATTTATTAACTTGATGACACGTTAGTTTATTCATTAAAAGACACACTCATACATTGATTTATTAGTTTGATGATTTATCGATTCTCTGATTTGCTGAGTTATTGAATCATTCGTTGCTGAAGTGACATTCTGATTCGTTTATTGATTCATTGAGTTGCTCTACTATATTACTTTTTAATCAATAAGAACTTGAAATGATAGTAAGTAACAGTTGTCACACAACTGTATTCCCTCTATTTTCTCATGTTATTGTTGAAATGCAATTTTATTATGTAAAAAAAGTTATGCTTGTGGTAGTTACAGTTCCTTTTACTGCAACTATTTATCACAAATCTGTATACTAAGTGGAGATATTTGATGCAGTAACTTCTGAGAAAACTTAGTTTTCCTTGCTTAAAACAGAAATAAATTACGTTTCTAGCAATTACAATTGATTTTAAAAAAAACTGATCTTTTTTTAATGAATTCGTGATTGATGATTTATTGTTTCTTATTTACAGGATTATTAATGCAAGCATAATTGATACCATATTTCTATTGGTTCATTTAGAGATTTACATAGAATTTTCAACATTTCGTTCAATCCAATCAAGGAAATTCGTGATCCTGGTGTAAACTCCTGGAACACCCGGTTCAGCACATTTTTTACCAAACGATACGAGTCCAATTAGATAAAACTTTCCATCTTGATGAGCTAACATTAAAGGACCTCCAGAATCACCCTAAAATATTAATAGTTGATCGTTATGAAGTACTAATACATACTAAATAACATATTTATATGCACTCTACACAGATTCAATACAGCGGTAACGAACTTTGAGTGGAGGTAGGGTAGATCATTAGGATTGAAAATCACATAGAAACCCATGACCTAAAAGTCACTATACGCCGCTAGGGACGACCCCTAATATGAGTATCCTGTTCTTGCACCCTTGAACTAGTTCTTTTATTTAACTAAATTATTCAATTTTATGTTTTCTAATTGCATTCAAACAAGCTCAAAAATAGCTTTTTTTTATTGTAATTCAATGATTTGACGACCAATTTAGCTGGTTTATCAGGTTAGGCACCAAATCATTAAACTGCGATAAAAGAGCTATTTCCGAGCCTATTTGAATAAACTTTTCGACTTAAATTATTAAATGAATAAAAGCACCAGTTTTAGAATGAATAAAAGCACCTTCATCATAGAGAAGTGCCTCTAACGGCATATGATGACATTTCCGGTCATGGGTTGCTATATACAATCCTTATGATATATAATACCTCCACTCAAAGTTTGTAACCGCTGTACAGAATCACCCTGTAGATTACATATTGTAAAACTAACAAAGATAACAAATCATAATGACTTGTTAAATTCGTAGATGAGATAATTAATTTTCAACTATGTGGTATTATTAATAAGATCAATGAGAGCAAAAGAGGTATTAAAATAATCAAAAATCAGAATCTGAATCAGATCTGACAATGTAGCTTAAGGCTGTTCATGGAGACTGCTCACATATTGTAAAATTAACAAAGATGACTAATCATAATGACTTGTTGCATTCGTGGACGAGATAAATATTTTCCAAATATGAGCAATTAATGAGATCAATAAGAGCAAGAAGATATTAAAACAATAAAAAAATCAGAATATGAATCATATCTGAGTATCGAACTTAAGACTGTTCATGGAAAAGACAAATACATTTTTGTCCAAAAAGAAAAATTAACAGATTATTTTGCTCTCTGTTTCCCTCTTTCATACTTTAATAATTATTGCTCAGAGATTGGAAAGTTTTCTTTTCTACACTTAGATGTTAATTTAATACCCCTAATGTGTATTGCTTTCATATTACATTTTAAAAAAATAATCATGAATATTAAGAGCGGTCATAACGAAGTACCTCGTATATGCTATTAGAATTTCCAGTATCAGTCATTTCAATTATTTGTGTTTTCAATTTTTTATTTTATTAATGAAGCATGAAATTGTAAACATTTCATGAATCTAGATACATTTATGCGATTTCAAAAGGAAATACAAAAGAGAAGTTCTAAAAAAAGTAATTGTATTTTTCTTTCTCGAAAGAAAAGTTATAAAATTATAATAAATAAAAAGTTATTAACTATTAAATTATAAGAATAGGAAGTTATTAAATTATAATAAAAAAAAGTTATTAACTATTAAATTATAAGAATAGAAAGTTATTAAATTATAATAAATAAAAAGTTATTAACTATTAAATTATAAGAATAAAAAGTTATCAACTTATTAAATTGAAATACTTAATCAATTATAATTAGTTTTAAGTACTTACTCGGCAAGCATCTTTGTCCCCATCTCCAGCGCACAAATTTGCTCCAGTTATTGGAACTTCCCTCCGGAAAACAACTTTACATTTATCATTTTCCCAAATTCTAACCTGAACTTCTTGCAAAGTTGAACTTGATGGTCCAGCTAAATAAGTGAAATATACATATATATATATATATATATATATATATATATATATAAAAG